GGTAAAAGTCCCACATAACGCACGGACTGTCTCTATCGGCCAGTATGCGCAAAACATTTCCCGACGCAAAAGAGGATATGTCGATGTCCTTACTTAGGTAATATGACCTTTATGTAGGACAATCAAAATAACTAACGTGTTTGATTTCTATCATACTCGACACCAAAAAATAATTGACATTATTTTAATGGATTCTTTTTTGGAAATGTTTTTATTTGCATAAGAGTGACCTCAAGGCTATCGAAATTATTTAACGATCTACCTACGTTTTTCTATTAAGATCAAGGTCAAGCGACTCTACTTTTCGCATTCTGTAATATTAGTCTAAGTTGGACTTGTGTTCTTCTAAAGTTATTTAAATGACAATGAGAAATGAGAATACAAAAGCAGTTTAAAGCATTTACTTTAAAATTCAATCTTTGAACGATTTTAACAGTCTTCAATATTATTTAATCGTATTTTTTTCATCATTATCTGAGATAAAGTATAATTGAAATAACATATATAACTTTTTTATTTGTACTTTTAAAAATGATCATGTAACTCTTTCAAAATTGTGATTTTGAAGTTCTATAGTTGCAATAAAATATACTTAAATGATGCAGCAAATCTAGCAGCAGCAAGTCACCAGTGGCAGATAAAGTTAACTACCTTAAACGATATTTAATGCAGAAACACGTGCATCTACAATGTTTGTCTGATAAAATGCTATATTTAGGCTTTTTAAACGTCACATAAGATGAATAATGAATTAAATAAAGTTTGTGCCAAATATTGTCACATGAACCGAATAGCAACGCAAGTTTTGATTGGTTACAAACAATAAACATAAAATTCTAATGTATTTTCATCCTCGACGCGTTAAGAGTGAGTGGTTGTTTGTTCAAACGAATGTTTCCATTTATCGGTAAAATGTTTTGATCGATCTAATAAAAAGGTTTTCTGTAGAGTTTGCAACTCATCGGCAGTGTTTCTTAACGTTCTGTGGGCTGAGTGTGAGTGAAAATTCTGGTTTTTGAAAGTTTCCCGCTAGGGGCGCTGTACAATCCGTCATACATTTAATGTAATTTTTTGACGCGCTCACTAGTGAGCGCGTTTAATAAAATCTCACACTAGGCCCTCTGTTAAGATTACTCTACGATATATGGTTTTTGGAAAATATTACAATAATTTTACATAAGTTTTACGCTATTCTTAGAAAGGCCAAAGATCTTACTGCAAGTCATAGCGTTTTCCGAATAAGGATCGTAGGAGGTATGGTGGGTTGATGTTATGTTATGAAGCAGTTATTTCTATAAATTCACGTAAAGTTATTTGTTAAATTCCAGTATTCTGTGTGAACCTTTAAATTACAATACAGTAATGTTCACTAAGCGTGATAACAACGTAATCATAAGCCACCTTGACATTTTCCAGCTATGAATAGAAGGTAATAGGTGTTGTGATTCAGTCTCGCTGGTACTATATTATGTACTTTATCGGAGAAATATTTTTGAAGTGCTTTTTGAACTCAAAACATGGTGTCACTTTTAAGTATCGGTTAGACAAAACATTAATTCTACTGCTCTGATGCAACACGCCTTTAAATCTTACAAAAAACCTACCCATACAGATTTTCATCTGTAATCAAATCAGCTAATTAGTACGGGGACGTCAATTTCTTTTTTTGGGGGTCTGGATATCGTTTCTCTGTAGCGTTCCGTTTACTTTGAACAGTAGAATCAATTCTTTACTTTGACCCATTCTTAAAGCGACACTGTATACGAAATAATCCTATACAATTTGCACAGAGGCGTAATATACGAAAGGAATTCGAATGCTTCAAAAATCCGTCTCCCATATTGTTTATTTACGAAAATCTATTAACAATAGAGAGTTTTGCTTATGTTTATGGACTCCGAAGATGATATTGACCTATTGTTTCGAGATGAGCCGATTGTTCGCTGACCTTCGATCGATTATTTTGGCATAGTTGCTTGACTCATGCTAGTTTTGGTTCGAAGGTAATTAATGATTAATGTTGGTTCGTTGTACCCGAGGTTGTAACATTTGTGGCATATTTGGTCCCACGTACCCTTGTAAGTGACAATAGATAGTTGGGGTCAGATAGATTAATTTAGGTTTCTTGGATCTAGGTTAGGAACTAGTATTCGTCGTCGTTGAATGGTTTTGGGCATGATTATTATAACAGTGTGACTGGTGTTATAGTAAGTATGTGTTAAATATTAGGCTGTCGTTAAATTGATACTACCAGATAATCAACTGTAGACATTAGTGAAACTTTTATTGAGTAGTTTAGTAGAAATAGGTTGTAAGTTAGTACTTCCTTCGTGCAATAAAATAAGTAGAAATAAATTAAATGGGAACATAATATTAGTTTTATGTAATAAGAAATTGATTTTAAATTTAAATAATGAAGGAAATAGTTAAAACGATTGCACATGTGCTAGATATTCAGATCTTAAATGCACATAACGCTAGTCGGGAAAGTTCATTTTTGTTACGTAGGTAATCGCCTTGTCATTGTATCGATAGCTAATGTGTTCCTTATGTAACTGGAAATTACATGTGTTATGAAACGGCGTTCAAAACGGAATTCAAACTCAAGCACTTGGATTGGGTGAATTGAATTGGATAGAATAGGGTCATCTCCACTCTCCCTGTCGTAGTCGCAAAAGACGAATATGAGTCAAATATTTGTTCTCATCATCATCATCATTACAGCCATAGGACGGCCACTGCTGAACATAGGCCTCCCCCAATGCTTTCCACGTTGATTGATTGGTAGCGGCCTGCAGATATTTGTTCTCACGTGTGATTTATAAAAAGATTTTAATAGTGCTCTTACATACTGATAAAGGTAGGAATATACAGCAGCAAGGAGCTGGATGCAGGCCGCTACCAACCGGCCATTGTGGAAATCATTGGGAGAGGCATATGTTCAACAGTGGACGTCCTATGGCTGAAACGATGATAATGATGATGATGAGTGCACTGATATTAAAAAGGTAGGACCATTAGTTTTATTAATGCGAAAAGTTTCCACGTCTCAAATGCTCAACCAATTTTGTTAATATACTCCCATATATCTAAGAGGAGGATATAAATAAAGCTACCTTTTGTCGCTAGAATAAATCTCAAATGAAGTAAATTGGGGATAAAAGTTTGTGCGGGCAACCCATCCTTCCCTCTCATCCATCCTCATCATCATTGCGATATAAAAACACATTTCTGACCCTACAAGGTCGGCCAGAAGGTGCGGTTTTTTGTAAGTTGTATCTCGTAAGATATCCTACAAAAAACTTGTGACCTTCGATTAAAAAGCAAAAAAGTTTTAGTTTGGCCTTCAATTGTTTTTTCTGATGGCTTCAAGTCTACAACCTGTCAGATATTACGATAAATCAAGGACAAAATTAAATGTGTATTATTGGAATATCTTCAATTAGAGAAGCGTTTTTGTTGAACCTTACACACGACTCACCGGTGACCTTCGTGGCCTGAATGGTTCAATAGGGGTAGGCTCACCAGTGAGCCCTGTGGCCTATATGGAAACACTAATTTTTTAAACTGGCGTTCAACGTGTTAATAAATGTAAAGTTCCGTAATACAATACGGAATGCCTGTCAGACTCGGAAGCCCTTGAGTAAGCGCTCGTGTTGAATACGGACTTGCATTTTACAATATTACTCACTCACTGCAGCCTTGCTGCAATATTTTAAAATTAATCATCGGTCCACCCACTGCCGTTAAAATACGAGGATTCATTATTCAATCTTAATACAAGCTTTAAAGAACCTGCCTAAACTGAAGACGGTTCATGCTTAAATAAAATAAGTTTTTGTAAGGGACCGACATCGATAACTCAATGAAAATTGTTGCAATTTTCTATTTTATTTACTGCCTTATTTATACTCGTAGTTGTCCGTCAGTGTATATATCCTATCAGCCTTTGGCATTTTTTAAAATGGAACTATTTATTTTATTTCTGTAATAAGATGACGATCGTTTTAGTGAATTCTTGTCTTAATTAAGTTCAACAACGGAATTCAAACCCGCAACGGTAGCTTACATGGTTAAGTGCGTTAACCGCTAGGCTGCAGACGACAAAGTTGTGTCAAACAACACAAAATGACCAAAGATAATATGTACAGTAAACGTTTTTCGTAAAACCCTTTACAATGCCTTTAATTGCATGCGGGTTAAAGCGGCTATTAAATCTTAATTAAGAATTTTAACTGTCGAGTGAATTTCGCACTAATTGACTTCACTGATAACGCGTGATTAACCCTCGATGGATCGGTGGCGTAAAGGCCACGGTAGAGTCGCGTGGTCGATCACCGGGCAATTAGAAATCGATTAAAAATAAACCAGGTAAGTTTTCTTTATAAACTGAGAGACTAAAAATATATTTTTATTGATAAAATCATCAATGAGATCTCATCTCGTAAAATAAAAATTACGTGAGTCAAAATTAGTAACTTCACAGGAAAATTAAACTTTCTTAGGTTATTGTATTAGTACTTACTATGCATACCTACTAAGTTTACTTAATTTGAGAATTTTAATGAACTCTTATTTAAGCAGTGATTTAATTCAATTTCGTTTGTCGAATTTAAAATACGTGTGAAATATTTAAAAAACATTATTTTTGTACAAATACTAATTTTGAGGTTTAAAATCCACAATCATGCCCGAAAAAATAAACAAACAAAATATTTTTATGCCAGAATATTATGAGAATTTTTCATTAGCAAATAATCTGCGGTGCACTTAACTAAAAAACAACTGAAGATAAAATTACCCGTATACAGTATCAAAACACATAAATATTATTGATAGCCCAATTAATTTAGAACTTTTCTATTTTCCCTCTTTATACTTTATTTCACGGTTAATGACACAACTTAATGCTTATTTTATTCGCGCACCCAAAACAAAACAAAACAAAACTTATTCAAATATTCTACCCACAAAACAAGCTTAAACGATAAATCACTCACTTTCCTCTTCCTTTATTATGCACGAAATCTGAATCCCTTGCTTTTTTTGTCAGAAAAAATACAAAAATTCGCGGCGCGGAAGATTTTTTAACGGACGCGTGCGCTCGCGCCGTCGCGCTTATAAACATTGAGACGAAAGGCAATCGTAAATATTCGATTTTTGGATTGGATGCTGGCTGGTTAATGTTGGGCTATTCATCAAAATGTTTTCGTTGAAGTTTAGAATGCTTTTTCGAAAACAAAGTCAACTTTCTTTTCAAAATTACGTAATTTTGTTTTTGGGTATGTGAAAGGGAGAGTTTTAGAGATAGCTATGCTACAGAAGCCTACACGTAGAAAGATATTTCTTCAATTAAGATACAGGCAGGATTCTGCCTAGTTTAGACACCAGTCTCCCACAGACAAATGTACCAAACTAAATTTAAGACTAGTTTTAAGAATCTGTTTGTGGAGAGAAAATAAATATATTTATTATATTTATTATTATTATAATTCCCTCATGGTTAAGGTGTCATGACTCTATGAGACATCTTAGATGTCGCACGTAGTTCAAAACACTTGACGGCTTAACATTCACCTTATTTATTTACTTTAATCAATCAATTTTCAAAAAATACACAGTGAAGTGTTTTCACTAAGTTGTCTCTCCTAGGAGCAGTCCAGTTATTTTGAAATATTTATTAGTACATAAAGCCACGAACTACGAGAACGAAATAACTTTTACTTGCTTCTCGTAGTACGGGAGTTGTCCAATGGAATATTTTTTCCAGTTGCTTTGCTTTTTTACCACAGAAGAAGGCAAACAACTGTAAGATCCACTTCTAGTAAAGGTTGTCGCAGTCTATTTGCCCGCTGGCCTTGGTACACGCGTAGATTATAGTCAGTGGATAAAAACTATGTTTGCTATGCGTTAATAGTCTTTGGCAATCCTGTACATCAATGAATTCGATTAATATTGAAACCGCGCTTTTAAATTCCCTAGTAATTTGATAGCAAATCCTTAATTGCGAAGTTCAACAACTGCGACAGTCTCTTTTTAGAGATGTCTTTTTCTCAGGAACAAGCTGAAATTCTTGTCAAATACTCAGGTAAAGGACAGTAGGTCCTTTGGAGCTGTGAAAAAAATCTAACTTCTAAGCCAATGCAATCAAAAGATATCTGTAACAGCGGACTATAGGCAGATACCATATGAATCGTTGGAGGATTTAGTTGCTAGCATTCCAGTGTGGCCTGTTGTAACTTTATTCCAGATCCACAGATGAGTAACGTGTAACACAATCCATCGTGAAGGTAATGCACATTTCGAAGTCACTTACGAACTCTTTTCAAATCGTGTTCGAGTTGTTCTTTTGTGTCGAACCTTTGTGTTCGTGCCAAAAGCCAATCGTATATGGATCGGCGCGAGCTTTGCACTCTATGTCAGTTATAGTACCATTTGCACGTAGTTTTTGCGTTACATTCACGTTACATAAGTCTCGTTCCGGCCTTTAGCGGCATGTGTAATGTCAGTAACGGCTTATGATGATAAAAGAATATTAGCAATTATTACAACCTCCCAATAACTAGCTACCGTGATTGAAGTATTCTTATAAATGTGCTGCTGCTTAACTAGGAGCACTCCCATGTAATGTAAAATTCGATTTTGAAAATTAAGTCAGAAATAGTCGTGGTCTTGTAGACACTTACGCCCGTATTTACAAACACTACTATGAGGTCTCACAATGCGCGTTAACGCACAGGGTGACACACAAACCAATCACAGAGCTCTATTCAACGCTGTGCGTGCAATTTGCTGCTTCACTTAAGCAAGCATCGTTTGTGAATAGGGGTGTCAGACAGTTCGAAATAGAAGAGAGATCAGAAAATCCTGGGTCCAAGTTCGTGATGCGACTATAAAATAATTAAATAAAAAAAATATATAAAAAAAAGTATATAAGTAGTATATCCGTTAAGCTAGCACCCATAACACAAGCATATTAATTGCTTACTTTGGGGCTAGATGGCGCTGTGTGAGATTGTTCAAAGATATTAAAAAAATATATATATTAAAGATATTAATTTACAGTTTTTTTACGTCAGTGCTCAAGCTTGAATAAACTTGACAGTCTGAAATACGATTTTATTCTTAGAAGAGTAATACTATGGTTCGATCAAACCTTTGTTGTTGTTTGCTATTACGGCAAAGAAATCGAACTTGATATCTTTAAATAGATTTAGTCAGCGTTTCAATGTTTATTATGCCTGCTTGGCAAATAGTAGCAAGCCACTGAAATTTAAAACATCTGAGACACTAAAACATGCTAATAAACAAGCAAAAAATGTGTTTTTCAATACATGTATAAGGCTTTACAAGAGCTACGTTCCCTAGATCTAGTTAATGTTTAATACTGTATCTCATGTGATAGCCCAATAAAATAAATAAATAAATAAAGAGAGAAGCGCTTATGTAAACTTTAGATGGTAAAGTTAGTTTTATGCTTTTAAGCTGAAATAATAGCAAACATAAATTGGACAGTGACAGCGTATTAATGATAGTAATTATGCTTCATTTTATTACCATTGTTGAAACTAAAATTATTATAACTACTAATATTATCATCACGTTCTAAACTGATTGCCACGTCACAATAACACCAGTCTTAGATGTAGATCAGTTTTACATAATAAATTGTACACAGGTGATTAAGACAATTGCTTTGTCTAGCTAGTCAAAACCACATTAGATCATACATTTTTGTTGCAAAAATAGCTTCTATTATAACTGCATAAGATATTCCAGTGTTTGGCTTGAAGTGCCGTCGCCTTTGTAGGCACGCAGGCAATGCAGGAATTGAACTTGCCAATAAATTATGTGTAACTCTTCTAGAAGTGTCGAGTTCGTTACATAAGAATTTAAATAGGAACAAACATACATAATAGGCTGGTAAACATTAGCATCCCTTGCGTCGTGCAGTATGGGTAAAAAAGGCAAGTAAAGTTGTTTTACTAGACAGCTTAAGAGCCTGGCTACGAAAAGAGAATTAATCGACTCTATCTGCATACATATTTATGTAAACGTGATTGATACCTTTATTAGAGCAACAAACTACCCGAGCTAGTAAAAGTAAGTTTTGCTGAATTAAATTGATAGTGTTAGAATAAAAATACTAACCATCATGAAGTTCCATGTGGCCTTTGCGTTTTGTTGACACTTTCGCATTTATATGTTATTAGTAGTGGTAATTTATTAAGTATCTGTAGGGTACGTACATTGCATGTTCATTTTATTAATCTAGGATAACGGTGTTGACTGTCCAATTAGTCTGTATATTTATTGAACTATCTTAAGAAAAAATATGTATTGTTCAGTTGTTTGTTTTCCTAAATAAATTAAAAAAAAAAAAAAAAAAAAAACCATGTATCGTATCGAAATGAAATTTTAAACTAATATTCAATATGCGTGTAACTTTTTGTTAATTAGTTGGTATGCATATAAATAAGTTGGTTGGTTGGTAAATGTATATTTTGAACTTTATTCTTGTTTGTAACCTTACATCATTATCAGCCAAACTCGATCCACTTTTAGTCATGGTCTCCTCTAATGAATGCTACTAATTCCCATCCTCAGGTTTTCTCCTCAACCACTTCCAGCTGCGGATTACCATGTAATACGTCGCTCCATCTTGTTCAAGGGCATCTTACAAACCATACATTTTATGTAATCCCCAGAGATAAAAGTACCTTCCTTTACACCTGCTCTCATTTTATTGCCTTTATGCGGATAAAACTCATCCGGTATTAAGAAATTAGTACATTCACGTGCAAAATAATTTATACAGTTTACTATTTATCATTTTGGGTAGAAGAATATGACAGTCGTTTTTTTACAGAGTTTGACGTCTTTTTGAAATGATTATTTTGAGCAGTGCAAATCTATGGAATATCGTTCGTGACCAAATTTTTCTTGGGGAGTTAAACCCAATTGTAAAATTTTAGGCCTTTTCTTGATAGGAACTTTTCTTAGCTTGATAGGAAGTGTGTGTTTCCTGTAACAGGCACTGTTCCTGGACAATTCTGTGAACTCTATTACTCTATTTCAGGGGTGGCCAAACTTTTGGCCGGTGAGGTCTACTATGCTCGAAAATATTTCTTGCGGTCGACTGCCATTACTGTCTATTTTAACGTAACAGCGTTTTCTAAAGTAGGCACATCTTCTTGGTCAATTCTGTAAACCCTATTTAGATTTGCACATAACAGCGGTAAATAGGCGTACTAGGCAGTACCTACACTATGTCAAGCTTATCATCGATGAATGGTCGGTCTTCCGCAAGCGCAGCTATACTAACAGTATATGGGCGAAGGCTATCATAAACAGATTTTCACACTAACTGTACCGCTGCAATAGCAGCTATTACATCTCAGCTATTCAAGCGACACATTTGTTTTCATTTCAAAGCGAGTTTCGTCATACAAATTAATACGCCATTCCACATTGCGTCACTGTACTGTGCGTACAGACAGACGATTTGTAGTTCGTTTTGTAGGTAGTTGCGGTGCCTTTCGACGGCCTTCGGTGAGCCTTGCATAGTACCTTCCGTTGGCTGGAGTGGGCTTTGTGTTGTGGTCTATTATGAATTGCATGTACCTCGTAAAGTTTTGTAATGTATAATAATTTTAAAGCACACTTTCAAAATCAAAATCAAAATCAAAATTATCTTTATTTGTTTAGACTAATTAAATTAGTTCTTGCAAATCGTCAAATGCTCTTAAGGAGCCTATACATGTCTCATTCTTTTTTTGCCCTACCAGCGCTTCGAGACAAACATTTGGCAAGTGCTGAGAAGAAGCGCCGCAACAAACTCAGTCACCACTGTCTGCCGGTTGTTTCTATCAATTAAACTCAATTTTTTTTAGTCATGAAACCTCAATACGTTTCAAATTAAGTGTATTTAATTTTAGTTGTTTTGAAATCCATATTAGTCATCCTCATGAAATCTATCGGGGAATAGTGTTGCGCCAGCTTAGTGGTTCACCAAATTAATAATGGTGTTCTGACCAACTGTTATGACGGATACCTATCTAATCAGTGAGACAGAGACATTGACAGTACTTACCCATATTTTTTTTAGTACGAGCATAAAAACGCACAGAAGAAACCTTGCTGTACAACATTTATCAGGCGATATTACTTTTAAACAGTGGTGACTTACACGTAGGTGTATAAATTGAGTACCTTATTTAACTATGTAACTATTTTTCTAACGGCAACAACAGTTACAAGGCTCTATATCACAAAACAAAATAATTAAACTCGTAATTAGATTTTTAACGAAGGCTCAAATGAGTACAAAGGTCTGTGTAAGTAATGAGAATATAAATTGATGTAAAAATGAAGGTCAAAGGACGTAATAAAAAGTTTAATTAAAAGTTGGCAAATATTAAAAAAATAAAAACCAATCATACTATCAAGAGGTAATGGTTGCCATACCTCAATATCAAAGTTACCACAAGGTTCACTTTGAGACTTTTAAAGATTAATTTATTAATATAACGTATCAATAGATTATTATAAATAACATTCCATATGAACTTATTAATAAATTAGTCATAGTTTTTACTAATTACAAATTAATTGGCTACCACGGTAAGATTAGGTACAGCGTGTCGTTGATGTCGTTGAACTAAGTAGGTTGATGTAATTATGAATTTTGGTCTGTTTAAGCGAAGTTCCTGATAGCGTGTTAAGAAAATATCTGTCAGTTAAACTTTTATTTTTGCCACCAGTTATTATCATCATCATCAGCCATAGGACGTCCACTGCTGAACATAGGCCTCCCCCAATGCTTTCCATGTTACCCGGTTGGTAGCGGCCTGCGTCCAGCGCTTTCCTGCTACTTTTATGATGTCGTCGGTCCACCTTGTCGGTGGACGTTATTATGAGCAACTTTTATTTGTTACATATAATTATTATGTAAACCTATCCGAAAACTCTACCTATCTGAAATCTGACACATTTTTTAGGAGCCCGTGAAACGAGTTTTTAAGGTTTATTGTTACTCCGATACATTATGTAGATAAAATTGGTGGGATTTTCAACTTCAGATGTTAAATAATATTATAACACTTGATGAGTACTCATACAATTACTTTATTATTGTTAAAGCAAACTTTATAAGCACAATAGCATAATAGTTTTCTTTACATAAATAATAAAATAAATCTTATTGTTCCGCAATATGTCATTGTTCTGAGAAAGCCATATAATATAAGCTTTTGGGAAAAAGCCCGCGGGTAATGGATTACTACATAGAACCAATGCGTAGGGGATAAAATGATAACTCGCTCTCGCTAATAGCATTCAGCTCTCTCATTGTGTGACGCAATCGCTTTCCGTGGGATGGAGTTTGCGAATGGAATGCCATCATAAAGTCGCCATCTAAACTCTTTAGAATTATTATTAAAAGTTTCCAGTGTTGCTCCTTTTTGAGTGGCAAATAAGTTTCATTTTACCATTGCCAAACAAATTAATTTTATATTTATCTGATACTATGTACTGAAAATATCTGTAAACTATCGAATGAAATATAATACACCGTTGCGTTGGTCGTTTACGAAATTATAAGACGAAACGAATTATTATAATAGAAATTACTTATTTTTAATTTTTGCAAAAGCCTACTTAAAAAATGATGCATACTACATGCTACACTTTAAGCAGCTTTACTTAGCTGTGATTACAATTTCGTGAAAATAGAGTTACAGAGAAGTTTAAAATTACACAATAGAGACGGTGCACTGGAGCAACTCTTAGCTTGCCGCAGGTGTGAAGAAATTAATCTTATGTGAAAATATACGAGTATTAATGGAACCGAAAAGTCTCGTGATTGAATATTCATCCTGCGGGGTACTCTGTACAACGATGCTCACATTTTTTAAGTTATATCTGTCTCTTTTACTCATATGAGGACCTTATGATGAGTGAACATGATAGAAAATACAAATATCGTATTGTCGAGTCGGTCACTGGTATTGTAAACCACGCAATGGCATTATCTAAAATGTTATTCCAGTTGCTCTATAAAAACTGCTGTAAGAATACTTGCACGTTCGATATTCATTAAAAATAATATTTTATTTGGATATTGCACATGAAGCCATCTACATATAAAATTTAGCTAAATACGCAGTAGGTATGTACCTACCAATAGCTAACCAAACAGCGACTGATTTCAACTAAATCCCAAATTGAACTTGTTTCTCAATCATAGGCTTGATGAGGTCTCATGCTGATCGACATAAGTATAGTAATTCTTCGTTTGTTCGTTTCAGCCAAATGACGTCCACTGCTGGACAAAGAAAGGCCTCCCCCAAGGATTTCCATTTCCACAATTCTTATTTTCATAAAACTAAATTTTTTATGGAACAGCACAAATAGCAATCGTAATCATCATTGCAGCTAAAGTACGTCTAATGCTGAACAAAGACCTCCCCCAAGGATTTCAATGTTCAGTTTTACAATTCGTGTGCGGGACGAGCGACGTTGAGAACCGAGAGTTCTATATGATTAAGAAACGAAGTAATGACTTCGACAAAGCATTAAGCTTTTCCGACCGAGTTAAGATCTAGATTTTCATCTGGATATCTCGATTATAGATCAGATAATATTTATTGTAATTACAAAACACATGCTGATCCATTTCTATTCTCATTACGTATATTATAGCAAAATTTTCCGATGATTGGTACCAATAACCAATAAGTTCTCAGCCATTTTCGCTTTTACGCTCGAGATATTTTTGGCTTCATTGATTATATTATTACCCTCCATCCGCGAATATGAAGTGTTCGCGTTTCCTCACACAATCAAACTACCCAGAATTCGGCTTGGGACTGGCTGTTCAATAAAATGTCTCTTAGCAACAAAAATACTTCGAAATATCATCTGAATATTGTGTAGGCTTTTTTTCGCAAATTAAATTTGCCCCATTCATGCGCGCCTTTGTCAAGCAATAAATTAAATAAGTTTTTGTAAGATTTGTTAAGAAACTCTGAATTGAATGCGTGGGTTGGTTTTAGATGGAAGGTTTATTTGGGAAATGTGATATATTAAGGGGTTTAATTGTTAGCGACTCGTCTGTATTCAACGTTAAATATCTAACCAGATTTAATAGAAAGATTTCACGATAAAAATGGTTAGCGCTATATTAACATAATATGTAGAGACGTAACGGTGCATACTTAGGTACCCTTTTTCCAGCTCTTTAGCGTTTCTGATTTTGATGCATAAGATATTAAATCCAAGCAGGATTAGGTACCTACCTCACGATCGCGGTGTAAATTACATGAGTGATGTCAAACTCTCAGGTAATTCATACCTTATATCAGTTTTTTTTTAATGTGACAGGAGGCAAACGAGCAGACGGATCACCTGATGGTAAGTGATTACCGTCGCCCATAGACACCCGCAGACCCAGGGGCGTTACAGGTGCGTTGCCGGCCTTTAAGGTGAAGATACGCTCTCCTCTTGAAAGCTTGCAGGTCGCATCCGTCCGGAAACACCGCAGACGACATCTTTGTTTTGACGATTTGATTTGACGACAGTTTTGTCAACCCTACGTGACGTAATATAATACCTCTTTAACAAACAACTTGAATTTAAATTACTATTATTAGTTACATAAACTATTTATATTTACAATCGACATTATTAACCCTTGATTGATTCATTCATTCATACAGCTTCCTTAATCTCGCCGCTGTATAATTTTCCCTTTACATAATGTAAACAGTTATTGTAAACAAACTGAACAAGGGTCGCTCATTAGTTTCGCTTTGTTCCGCCCAGTTGGTGAATTCATCCATTTTAATCGACCTACCTAGATTAGGCGCCGCTCAAAATGTTAAAACAAAACAGTATTTACCCGACAAAGGTTGATGAGATTATAATGCTAATAATGTTTGACGTTATACTCAATGGTTAACTAATAAATGTATTAAAGATCAGATGCGACAATACCCAATTACGGCATCGGACTGAGAGACTCGAGTTTGAGGAACGTCGGTTTGAAACCCGCCGCGCTGGACTATTGTTGTGAACCCACTCGTAACATAAGCGTAAATATTTAGCTTACCACAAAGGGTTAAAGGGACTATCAGTTGCGGAGTACGTAGAATCGTGCCAAGTAATTTCAACTTTTCAAGCCGAGAAAACGCGGCGAGGCAGCAGAAGTATGTTATATTACTCAAAGCATTAAGATCCAGAGATTACTTTCCAGAGCCATATCTTCTGAGCTTATAAACATGGATCCCAAATTCCACGTGTATATCACGGAGTTCCGTGAAATCACTCTGTGAAACACGTGTATAGCACGAGTTCGTGCTTAAGTGCGATTTTCATACATTTTCAGATCCTTGGCAAGCTTGGATTCATAATGTACCCAGTAGGTGGCGCTGCGATAAGGTATTAGGAATATTTTAATATTCGGTCAATTAAATTAAACAAAAAGTTGCTTCATCATATTTTTATTATAGTTACTAAAGCGTTACAATCTAAATACTAAAAAAACTAAGTATCACATTTCGTTTTTATTACTTTTCAACAGGATTTTATTATTATAAAAACATTATTGTACTTGATAACGTCTCAAATATTTTGAAATGGCATTATTTGGACGGATCACAAATTCATTATTATATCACATTTCAATACAAAGTTGTTATAAAATTTTATTCAGATTGAAATTTAATAAATCCATATTTTTTAATGGGAATAACAATAAAAGATCTCACAAAGACGGCACTAATAAAAAGTTCAAAGGTAAACTTTATTTTCGTGGAATCACAATATTTTTTATAAATTAATCAATATTACAAAATAAAAAAATCTAATTGGATGCCGTATACTTTTATGTTTTTAACAATTTTAATGTTACAAACCCACTTATTATGTGACGGCCCGTCTTTTCAATCATCAAATAACTTTGAAATTAATGTTTTGCGAGAATGTCGATTCAAATATATTTCAAATACAAAAACTGTCAATGTGTCAAACTTTAACGTAAAGTAAAATTTTTCAGATAGGCGTGGGTCCTTTAGGGTCATATAAATTTTACAGAGATTACACTCAAGTTCGCCCCACTATGATATTATAGTTTAAAATCAATGAAAATGTAAAATGTGGTTTGGTAACTATTTTCAATTGTACTGAAAATATGTGAATATTAGAGTTGAACAATAAACAAATAAAATATGTTACAACAAAACAAACTGAAAAATAATGTCGAGACCTAGTTATCGTTACATGCACCGTTACAAACAATTGAAGATTAGAATGGATTGATTTTGACTCGATGCAGAATAAAAGTCCTAAAACTACTTGTTCGTCGTAAAAAGTTCAGGTTACACTTAAAACTAACTTAACTTAAATATACTCCAGCTTAACTAATTTGTCTTATAGACTAAAAATGTCATAATACATAAAATCTTTAATATGGAACTAAATAAGCGAGGATTAAAATTTGGAATTTGTATTGAGTTTTTTAAACTTGAGCCAATACAAAGTTCCAATTTAGTTATTACTTATACTAACTAATAATTGTATACAATTTTGATGACAGTACATATTTATCAATTCACAGAATAAGTATTCCTTTCTTTTTATATTTGAAAACGATTTGAGTCAGTCAAATATACAACCGGAAACTTGGTTTATTCACAACCTGGAGTCTATTTTATGTCTAAGTAACACAGAACATGCACTTAAAAAATAGTTTTTATAAAAATGTCTTATTTTGTCATAAAAAGTAAGGGTGAGTTATACTTATTTAAAAAAGGTCTGTTGTTAACCTGAGTGTCAAACTCATCTAGAGATGATTCCAGCCCTATTCAACACAAAGGCATGTACTATAAAAAATATAATTACTATTTTATTCAATTTATACCTACCTTCAGATGTCCATTGTCGAAGATATATGTCGCACAATAATAGCACAATATTTTAGGCAATTAAAAAAGGTGTTGTATTCTATAGCACTGGACAACGTAGAGCTTTTAGCGAGGCCTTCTATATTAGTGGAATGTAATAAGTCAACGACAATCTCTATCGATAGTCAAAATAATACTTCAGAACCAACTGTCATGGAAAGCAACTCACACACTTGTGTCATTGAAAACAGAAATTGCTGGCAGTATTTCCGTTGGCACAATTTTTTCTGAGTGACCGAATTTTTCAACCATACTCCTGATCGATACGTAGGATCCAGCGAAGAGAGCGATCAGAGAGATGAATCCGATCAGGATGTTCTTCCATAACTTCCAGTACAAGAAACCAAGACCGCGTTCCCAGTTGTGGACGGTGTCCACGATAGCGGGGGTCAGGAGTCCCAGGGTTGAGAGGAAGATGGCTCCACACAGGCTGATGAATAACTCCAGGTCGGGGAACGCTGCTGCCAGAGCGACTAGAATAAAAAACACATTGACATTGGATTAGACATGATGAGAGCCATCATTACTTCTATGTGGCAAAATTTCAGGTATTACAAACTGCCTAAGGTGCCACAGTGTCTTGCTTAATGTGTTGTACCCTTTACTTAAATGCAAGAATTACTTTTGGTTTTACTACATCACCATGGAAAGATACGCATGTAAAGTTTTTTGAAGTAAGATTCACTTTGTTGAAAAGCTGTAAGTATTTTTACCTGATCCAACCACAGCAGCGGTCCTGATAGAGATCTGGGTAATGTTGTGGTATCTCACAGCGATCTTGGTGTGGAGCTGACGCCAGATCATCTCCATGGGCACGTAGAACTGGAGGCTGTATGTGAACAGGATCGCGAGAGCCATGAGGATCTTGGCACTTTGGGCGAGTCTGAAATATAATAATTTTAAATTGGTTATTAGTTTTTCATGTTTCACACCAAATGCCAAAAGAGCATTTTAATAATATTAAAATACGTAAAAAATATCATTGCTACTTTTTCAAGAATGCATAAACCCATACTTTTTATAATTTCGTGAAAAGCAGCAATGCAGCAAAATACGGCACACAATCAAAATTAAATGTTACATTATCCTACTTTTTTTGAGACGTTTTTACTACATTCTCAGTCCCACAAAAACTATCATAGAAAGAAAGAAAGAAAGTACCTAAAGCCAAACGAGATAAAAGGAATAAAATCAACTCACACTTCATCTTGTGGGAGGTTCAGCGTGACGCTGCCTCGGACCTCGTCGCCATACTTGAAGTATCCGAAGAACCCGACAATGCCATACAGCGAGATGACTATGGTCATGGCCACGTTCAACACGCCGGGACAGCCAAGGAACTGCTGGGGCTTGGCCATCTCGTTCTCAACAGGCATCACCACGCCGATGCCTTCCATGGCGAAGATTACTGTGCTGTTAGGGAAAATGATTACGATTTTATTGCCTGATATTAAGGAAAGATTGAATGTTGGAAAGTTAATTTTTGTTAAGTTAGTAAGATATTATGAAAGTTTCAAACAGCAATGAATGATTTTAACTTTCGCGTTCCATTTCAAACTAAAATAAAAAAACACGGGTCTTAAAGCGACATTTAAGGCTGAGTTTAAGACCAGTGTATTTCTATTATAGCAATGGATGCAGTAAATAACAAGCAGCGGGATTATAGTCCTTTCTATATTATCATCCTCCTTATAATCATGTAAGTAGAATTTTTAAACCGTTTTAGTTCATGAATAATATTCATATTTTCTGTTACATTATTTTCTAAAAAGACTTTACGTCTTTTTAGAAAAGACTTTACGTCTTTTTAGAAAATAATGCTGCAACAATCACAAGACAAATTACCTGATGAACAACGGCCATTGCGTAACACTGGCCACCATCTCCCTGTCCTTAGGGTTGGGGAGATCGCTGAAGATGTAGTACATGGTGATGGAGAAGCATATGACCAGCAGAACGTTGGCGATGGCCGAGAAAGGCACCAGCCACTTGAGGTTCCTAATCTGGCAGATGAGCACGAGAGGCACTAGGGTGAGCGCGCAGTATGTTTCCACGGATAGCTTGTAGTTTGGCATGTACTCGTCCAGTACCTGTGGAGATTAGAATAACATTTCAGTGCTGGCCAAGTCAGATGATTTTTTGCAAAAGCTTTTGTCTTTTTACAAAAAAGACAAGAAAATGTTAAAGGTCAAAGTTTTTATTCCTAAACACTACCATTCGACAATTTTACCAGTTTTAAATAAGAATAAGAATAAAATTATTACTTAATAAAACGTAGCCTAGATACATTTAGATTCACTTGAATTAAGGTCAGTGTGCGAAGTACACACATTGGTAAAAGAATATTGCTCTTCACTGATTTATATTCAGTGCAAGTAATATAAATGTTGACCCTAAAGTGCTGCAAATAAATCCAATAAAATTAGAATACCTATGGAATAGACGTGCTGATAGAGAATATGAAATATTCAAAAATGAAGCTGCTTAAAAATAAATGTAGATTTTTATCTTTTGACACCTTACACTGAAAATTCCTTAGATCCTTACATGTAAGATACCTATTAGCTTTTCTTTCAATATTTATCAGCAGAACATATTTTCTCACTTGAAATGATCGACTACTTTAAGTGAGAATTAGATTCCTGATTTTGCGTTTTTTTCAAGTGAAAACTCATGTTTAACGTCATAATAATAATAACAAAGCTTTTACTTCATTCATAACAGTCACATTTACATAAACATGTTTTTAATACTTCCTTTTAGGTAAAAATATGTGTTCCATTAAATAAAGCCCTTACAATACCTTTCTAAGTTACATAAAAGCGATATTACGGTGTATCTTCTTTAACAAAATTCACTAAAGACTTGATGTGGACATTTTTACTATCCTTGAGTAATATCGCTGTCCCTAAATGTATTTCAGATCATTTACTTTTTAATTTACTATTTTCCTGAAAGTTTGGAATTACATAAAGTTTCATTATCTTAAATTGCGCATAACGTAAAAGTATTATTTACCTCTTTAAAGTTTTCAGCTATGAACACGATGTAGACGCACAGTGCCGCCAGATACGTGCACGTTAAGGCGTAGTCTGTGAACGTTCTGTGAAAAAAGGTGAACGATGAAAAACAGCTGGTTAACAATAATAATGATTACGATTTGATTTATCTAATATGGGGCCATCCATAAAGTACGTCACACGAATTTCATGATTTTTTGACCCCCCCTCCGTCCTTGTCACAGGTGGTCACATTTCTGAGACCCCCCCCTCCCTAGTGTGACGTAACATGTTTTGCAATTTCACATCGAAAAATTATTAAATTAACAGCAGTTCCGAAATTAGTTTTATTTCCATTTAAATTAAGTACATTTTTTTTATGAAATCAACATTATATAAAATATTTAAAACAATTGAAATGTGATGTCACGAAACTTAGGACCCCTCCCACCCCTTGTCACACCATGTCACATTTTGTCAACCCCCTCCCCCCCTCTTTACGTGTGACGTACTTTATGGATGACCCCTATTCCGTGAGAATATAATATCACGTCGCTTAATGTCTTGTTTTTTCCTGAACTTAGTAGCGAAACGATTATGATAATATGAAAATTTTGTCTAAAGCATGGTGTTATACGTTTAAAATAAGTAGGTACCACAGATCATAATTTGAGTAAGAACTTCTCTAATTTTAAACTGAAAGTTACTTTGAACAGCGATGGTACAAAATTAAACAGTAAAATCTTGTTTAGCGAACAAAAAGTTAATCAATTTTGCAAGTATACACACAGAACATCCAAAGTTTACTTTATTTCATAAGGGAACAACTCCCCTTTTAATGCGATATTTTATTTGGGGGTTAAATTTTCTGAATTAACTTTTCATTCCTGAGGTTGCTTTCTTAAGTTTTCTTTTCATCAAAAGTGATGTAGACCAATATTCCTCGTATTGGTTAAAAAAAATAGTTCTATATGGAACATTTATGATGCAGAAAAGTTCTCAAGCGGTGACCCAGGGCAGGAAGACGTACCGTGGGCAGACCGAGATCTCGGTATTCCGGGAACCCGCATCATTTTTTAGTCCCACGTGCTGCGGGATTAGATACGGGTGCGGGATCCCGCGGGATTTGCGGGACTGTAAAGAAACAAGCGCACGACTATTCGCGACCGAAGACACGAAGATGCGACGACTCTGATTACCGCTGAGGTTACGCTAATATTCATGATTAAAAAGCTGGAAGACGATCTGCCAGACCAATAGGTGGACCGATCTGGTAAATGTCGCGGGCAGCGCAGTAAGAGGCGTTATGGAAATTCTTGGGGTAGGCCTTTATCCAACGATGAAACAAACGAATTATGTAACAACGTTCTAACTTTAGCTCATAGGTACAGTCGCGGAATGAAAAGGTTCGTCACCTTAGTGTCGGTTTTCGCTTGCACTAGGTACTGTAAGAGTCAAACCTGCCAACATAACAGTGCAAGAAACAGTGCTGCTAACATTTAAATAAATATGACGTTTACTAACGAATAAGGTTTTGCTTGTTTATTTTTCTATCCCTTCAATGTCATCATTGCATTGCACTGATGACATTGACCAATTGACAATAGTTTTTTTTAACCGACTTCAAAAAATGAGGAGGTTATATGTTCGACTGTATGTATTTTTTTTTCTATGTATGTTCACCGATTACTCCGTCAATTGTGGACCGATTTTCAAAATTCTTTTTTTGTTCGATAGGGTACAATTCTGAGGTGGTCCCATTGTCACCAAGTCAGGATCTGATGATGGGATCCTAGGGAAATCGAAGGCAACCCTCAAATTTTATAGGCACGTATATCGTTTTTCAAACTTTTTCTTAAGTTATTCAAGTATTTGCTCCTGGAAATCATCATCTCATATTGATGAGCTGATGATAGAAGGTAAAACTCCTTAATGCTTAGGAGTTGGAGGATAATTCTTTTAATTTTATAGATAAGTATAGTTTCTAATGTTATTCAAGTATTTACATCAGATATTCATCATCTCATTATGATGAATTGGTCATGGTAGGTACAACTCCTTAATGCTTAGGAGTTGGAGGATAATTCTTTAAATATTAAAAGTACAAATAGACCAACAGTTGTATTCTTTCATGTTTTTAAAGTGGGCTGACGGTTTGAGGTCTTTTAGGTTTCCTATATGGTAACTTGTATTTTGTATGGAATATTATTTACACTAGACATGAAGAATTATGGTGTCAATGTACTGCCTACCTTCAGTGGTAACATCAAGGTAATAATTAGTTAACTAAAAAGCAAGAAATAAGTAAAATTTTATAAAAAAAAATAAAACCGACTCCAAAAAACCTACACTAAAAAGTAGAAAAATAATTACTAATTTCCTACTTATTTATTAGGACGAATTAATATTTATGTAGGTATACCATGATTGATACTTTTGGAGTCGGTGCAGGCAAACTTTACATGTTTCATAATCTTGGCACCATTTAAATTTAATAATAAAAAAAACAACCCCCAAGGGTGGAAAATTGGGGATGAACTTTTTTATACGCAATATCTCCGCCGATTATAAATCAATTTGAACGATTATTTTTTTGTTGAATAGGTATTATCAAAAGGGTGGTTTCATACGAATTTGAAGAAAATATTTCACCCCCAAGGGTGGAAAATTGGGGATGAACTTTTCTATACGCAATGTTTTTAATTTTTAGTTTTTTTTTGTGTTCACGCATTTGAAGTCGGTTTTATTTTTTAAAAAATTTATTAGTGTAGGTTTTTTGGAGTCGGTTTTATTTTTTTTTATTATTTAAAAGAAATAATAATGGCAGGTTGAACCAACAAGAAGGTTTTAGTTTATCAATCATAATAATCTTCTTGACAAGATAAATCGTCAAACAACTTTGATCTGAATAATTTTGAACTTTACTGACGAACAGTTAAAGATTATTTTCTCTAACTCGAGATTATTCTGTAACATAGTTTCAAAAGGTAATATGTGCTCGCGATTCGTTGAAGGAATCAATTTGAAAACTGACGAACCTTTTCATCCCGTGACTGCACTTGAGATTCAGAATACAGGCTTAAAACAAAAGTGCTTTACCTGGCGAAGTTAGCCCACGGCCTGAGCCTCTTCGGGCCGAACTCGAAAGCAGCTCCGCAGGTCTCCGCGAAACCCATCGACGGCTTCTTGGCATCCACGCATACTTCTTGCGACGTCTTTACCTAAAATAACACCATGTTTATAGGTAAAAGCTCTGTTTATCTAAATAAGAAATAGAACTGCATTAAAAAAATTATAAAAAATACACCCTGTATTTTTATTGTATCGATTTTTAGGGATTGATAAGGATGCAATCTCACTAACAAACTTAATAAATCAAATTAAAGAAAAACCATGAAATCTTAAATTATTGTAAGTCTTTACAGAAAATTGTATGGTATTAGTGGTGAATTTTCGAAAAACATTTGGAAATGTTTGATTGCAGTTCTCCTTCTTTTAAAAATTAAAGGCATGTTTTCTTTGAGTAAAATTTTCTATCTACAGTATTAAGAGTACTTCCCTCTATGTGGAATTACTAAATTCCACCTTGCATATTAAATGTTCCTTTTCATCATAAACCCTCGTCCGTGGCATCGGACATGTAAATACTTTATTATGTTTAGGTTTATTTCATACTTAATATAATATTATTATAAATAACCCGATGGATAAGGTGGTTAGTTTGTTTTACGCTAAAAATTAAAGTTGTAGAGAAACTTCAGTGGACTTATATTACGGATGAAATAAAGACTGAAGGTCTGGCGAAACCGGGCGCTGTTTAATTCTGGTAAAGTCACTATCAACAATATATTTTATATAGGTTTTGGCTTATTCCACTATTCCCCGTTAACGCCAATTTATGCTTATAATGAACTAAAAAGTTAATTAATCTCCGTTATATTTGAATTTTATTTTGAACGTAATGGGGATTAATGAACTTTTTAGTTCATTATTCCCCATTATAATTTCCAATTTGGCGTTAACAGGGAATAGTGAACAAAAAGTTCACTAACCTACTATGTATTATGGAAGCAATAAACATATTGAGTATTGAGTAATCCCCGTTGACGGGGATTTTTTTTTAACTGGTATTTTGCTACCAGAATCAATGTTTGTAATCAGTAATTGGATGTTGTTACTATTAGGTTACTTTTATTAAGTTTTGAGAGAGTAGGATAGTTTCTCGTAATTTTTTACGAGCAAACTGAAAAAGACATTGATGCGAGGTTGACGGGGATTGTCAACGGGGAATATGGTTTATTGTAAATTTTTTTTCGGATGGACCTTGCTGATAGCCGTGAGAGGCTAATTGTAAAAATATGTCGTAGTAGGCGGCATTCTATTATTTGTACGTTCTGAAATAGTTAATAGAGAGATTAAGCTATAAACACTTATACAAAATAGGTACCGATTAATTTTCGGTAGTAATAGTAATAAAAAAATAGTGACATTATGGTATCATTTTATGATGTTTCATTTTCATTAACCCTTGTTATCTGCAAAGAAAGGTGCTCATTGGATTTTTGAACTCCTTATTATGTATCGTTTGAATACAAAAAAAATGTAATCTTGAAAAGAATTTGCCATCTTTAATCAAAGGCTTCCCCAAAAGACCGCGAAGTATCGTGAGGGGGTTACTATGGTTACCGAAGCTTACAAGCCGAAATGAATACAGAATTCAATTACGATTATCTTTAAAATAATGTGAGCTTAATGGTTGGCGACCTTAGTTGTAGGTACCTACTTATAGGGTAAAAGAAGAATGTAGCTTTATCAAAACATCATACCTGAACTGTTTGTCTTATGCCCGAACTGTTTGTCTTAAATTGTCATTTAATATGGAAGTGTCATTTTAATCCAGGGCTCATCCTAGCTGGGACTTTTTATTTGGTTACCTTGATTTGCGGTTGTACATTAAACATTACAATACAGGTAACACAAATGCCTATTTTATTTATGATTCATCTCAAATTACATTAAACAAATAATCATCTGAATGAACACCGGTTTTGATAATTATTTAAACAATTTTGAGTTTCCTAATAATATTTTACTAAGTAGGTAGGTAACTAAGCAGTGTAAACAAAGCCAAGGAAAACCCCGGATAGGTAATGAATACATTCTGTCAATTCAAGGAAATATGAATGTGTTGTTAATTGAATTGATATTGGTTTAACCTTAGATCGCTTTCTTATGATGGAATTATCTTACATTATATTTTTGATAAAATGGTTTCGGCCTTGGTGTAATTACTCTAATATCCTCAGGGAAATCGCTATGCAACTGCCGTAACATAATATGAAAGTGACTCACAATTACTTCATTAGTAACTAATACAACTACAAATTACTAAAGTAAATTAGTAAGAACCAAGTTTTTATTTTGTCAAAAAGACTGACTCTACAAAGTACAATTTTATCTTAACTCCATACCTAAAAAAATAATAAATAAAGTTAATTTCGGTAACTTTACACATTTTTCATTACATGTATTTGGGGCTTCCCATTAAGCAACCAGTTTTGCTTGTGTTAGGAAGCTCCGCTCTTCCATAGTAAAATTACAAAATAAATGATACTGTTAGCAAAAGTGTTGGTGCTATAACTAATAGAAAAGATATTTATGTAGGTTTACAATAGTACAACATTTTCACCACCTTATTCTCTACCATTCACGTGCGTCTACCTTCTTTTTTTTTCAAGCAAGAGCTGAAAATCAGTGTTCTGCTCATTTCAGAGCAGTGTCTACACTGATCTCTCTGCTTTTTTGCATCGCTGCGGCACACTTATACCTTAGCGCGCAGGATTTTCTTTCTTTCTCTTTGTAATGTACTATATCTTTCCTGCTACTCCTGTGTTTATTAATCTTACGTTTTGCTTCTTGTGTGTCAATGTGTTTTGCAAATAAACCATTTATCTATCTATCTAATACAAAAAAAAATTTAGTGTGTGTGTGTGTGTGTGTGTGTGTGTGTACCTAAATTCACTATAACCGTGTAGGCTAATTAAAAACAAACACCAAACATACAGCGTTACTTTCCCATTAATAAATACTGAATCTGTGTTGATTTTTATTTTACGCAAAAATGCATTTATAAACCAGCGCTAACAATAAACAGTATCAGCTCAATCAGAAATGAATTTTAACATTTTGAAAATTCTTTTTGGGGTTTTCGACCTCAAGTTGTTAACGACTGCTCTAGGATATGCTACAAGGCTGACTAGTGATCTTTACAAACTTAGAGAAGCCACGCCTTTAATTTCAATGCCCCGTTTTAGGCTACGATTTTATAGCAGGAATAGATATGTTTATATTATACCTAAACACCTACTTTTGTACAATGTTTTGTAAGAAAAAATATGATTTGGTCTCATTTTGTATTGCTTACTATACAAATGGGATGTCAACCCACCATTTACTAGCTGGGTCCACTTTTTACATCTACCACTCACTTTTTTGTTAAAATCTTTGTAATCATTAATCACTCTTTTCAAAATAGTCAGGAAATTGCATGAAATTAAATACGTACCAGCCGCGGGGGTAGCTAGTGGGGTTTCTGTAGGGCTCTCCCTACCTAGGAGAGGGGTAACCACTTAAAACCTGACGGTGATGGGTAAGAAACGTGGGACAAAAATAGGCTACTATAATACGTTGATCTATCATAAAAGCGAATGATCTTCTTCTTCTTATTCGTTAAGCTCTTGGCAGAGCGTCGTGGTCACGTTGAGGCGTTGTTCACATCGGTTGTAGAGGCGGATACAACTCTCCGCACGATCTCCCTCCATCTCTCTCTATTGGCAGACTGTCTGGTGCAGTCACATAAGCCGTCTCCCACTGCTGCTTTCACTTGGTTGGTCCAGCGCATTGGTGACCTGCCACGCGATCGGGTTCCTTGCCAAATGAACTTACCAAAATATAAACACAGTGCGTGCAGATGAATCCCACGACCATGGTCCCGATGGCTCCGAAAGCTAATCCTGCATTCTTGAAGGCAGCCGGCATGGCCAGGATGCCCGACCCGAGGGAGGACTTCAAGAGATGCACCAGCGAACCGATTGTTCTGGAAAAGAAAATGTTATTTAGAATACTAAACACTGCTATTTTACTACAAACATAATGTTTGATCTGCTTGGATCTCTGGGTGCACGGGGTCGCCTCATAAATGCTCTCAAATATGTTCAGTGGTTCTTTGAAAATTACGCATACGGGAATTTAATTTTCGTGATGGAGCGGCGCAGCGCTTCATATTACTGGCTACTAATACCACAGAATAATAATAAGTACTACGTACAGAAGTTTTACTTCGCGAAGGTATTTAAAAAAATGTATGCTCAATGTCATTAACAATATGGTGTAATTTAGCTTGTCTCAAGAGTCAAGCAAGTTTGTCAGAAGTTTTGTTGACAAACGTCAGTGATCGGTACTGCGCCGAAGCTATAGGGCTGACTTCGGTAAAATGATGTGACGTGAGGTGCCAATCTGCAGAAAATGGCGGAGATATATAGAATACATGATTTAGCATGAATTATCATGAATAATATTAACTACTTATTTACCTCTCAGTGTCTTCAGGTAACTTAAAAAGTACATTCTGTGTTTTTATTATTATTTAGGCAGTTAAATACTGCACAGTATTAAGTACACCATTTTTTTATTTTTTTCCATCATACACAAGAATACGCGTGCGTGAGTCAATGTTCGCTCGTATGTGAGGCCTTGTCAGTGTTGCCAGTCGGGTCTTGTCAGAAATTACCAGAAATATAAAAAAAGTAACCTTTTTGAATAAAAAGTAATTCGAAATTTTGACCATTCCATGAAGACCGAAAAGTGACCGGTCGTATAAAACCGTTTCATGGATTTGCGTTTTATTATCAAAAAAACATTTACTAAAACTCATTGTCTTTAACAAATAATAAATCAAATTCATGTTTAAATGCAGTTTATGACATAATTTTTAAATTGTCACTATTCATATTTTTACTGAATAACCTGTAAAAGTTAATTCTACAATTTCTGAAAAATCACCTAAAAGTAACCTTTTCATTAGTGTAACCTAAAAGTAACCAATGCAGTTCAAAAGTAACCTAAAAGGTTACAAAAGTAACCTTCTGGCAACACTGGGCCTTGTCGAATAGTACTCTTTGCCTCTACCATGAGTTGCCATCGAAAACTTGTCTGGGGGCACGGCAGTGCCCCCACCAAGTCGAGCAAAAAAGCGGCACGGCCGTACCATCCTTTTCTCGAAGCAATTCAGGCCATTTTCGACCGCCTGTAACTTCGTTGTGGATAAAACTAGAAGGCTGAATTTTCATTAGCTATGCAGGCATTGTAAAGACACGGTATATTTAAAATTTCATTCAGTTTGAACCAGTAGTTTAAGAATTATAACGGGTCAAAGTTACTTAATTTTGTCACTCACTGACTCACTGACTCACTGACTCACTGACTGACTCACCGATCATCAAAATTCTAAGGCACTTCTAGCAGACCTAGAAGCTTCAAATTTGGAATATAAGTAGTGTTTGGTGTATGAATCAAGGAAAAACTAAAATATTTGGGGGCACGGTAGTGCAACCGCCAAGTCGAGTAAAATTTTTCAATTTCGGTCCAGTTTTCTAGATACATAACTGCTGTCTACAAAATACAAAAAGAAATGAGATACAAAAGTAAATTTCAACTTATGAAAATACATATTCATTGTCGGATTAGCTTTCTATCATGATCTCGTAAGGCTGCGTTTCCACCAGAGATGTGCGAGGATGCGTAGCGAAGGATGTGTTTGTAAAGAACCAATAGAATCGCTTCATTTACCTCGCCTCGGTCAGCACATCTCTGGTAGAAAAGGCTCAGGCTGTACAACACTAATGAGCACTACACATCCTCGTACGATACATTTTCCTCGCACAGCTTTGGTGGAAACCCGCACACATTTTCACAGCACAGCTAGACATCTTCGCACGACACAATTCCCTCGCATATCTCTGGGAAACGCAGCATCCTCTCTCTCCCCCAAGGATCTCCACAATGTGCCCGCATCCAGGTTCTTCCCGCGACCTTCTCCAGATCGTCGGTCCACCTAGTGGGAGGTCTGCCCACATGCTGATAACATGTTCCATCGTAATAAACTCCTTTCCGACATAATTTAATAAAGAAAACACCTAAAATGACCTAAAACCACAATTTTATTTTGCTTTTCACACGTCAATAAGCCAGTGAGTTACGTTACTGTGACAGCTAAGGTATTTTTCGATGACATCTTTGAAAATTGCAACTCATGGTAAGTTATTTGTATGAAACTTAATAAAAACTTTAGTCGCTATCGTATTCAATTAGATAGGTTTTTTACCTAACGATTTGAGATGAACTCATGGTAGTGTTTTTAGTTTTTCTGTGGTTCAGCTACTAACCGCTAGAGGCGCTGTACAATTTGCCATACATTTTTTTACGCCCTCGATAGCGAGATGCTCGGTAGGTAAACTCATGGTAGAGGCACTTGTAGGGGGCAATCGTGCGTGTTTTGTTTTCGATGTAAACTCGCGGAGATGAACAGGCCTGCTAATACTGCCTTAGTTTTTCTAATTATCTCATTAATTACTTAGCCCCAAACTAAGGAGCTGATTAGATACTAATACATTGCGCATAAATAGATACATATTAATGAACATACATAAACATAACGTATCCAACTACCTGTAGAAATGCTTACCATAATGACATTTATCTCCGTCGGGAATGGAAATTCGGACTCGAAAACCGCTAGACCAAGCGGCAATCGTTATTTTTCACAATGGCAGCAATTTCCTAACAAATAGAAAAAATCAAACCAGCTTTTCCTAAAGAACAAGACACGGTATAGGTTATAGAGTTATTACTATGTAAATAGTAAACACGTAAACTTTCATGGCCTTTCTAGTCTAAAGCTGTAGTCGGATCAACGCCATTTAGTCGTTGGCTTAATTAATATTAAAATCACGAATGTGGCGAGCTTTGGCCTTAGTTTTCTGAAGTCAAAGTTTTCTAATTAACAACACAACATTCCCAGCGGGGACTAGTGTTGGTCAGCTATGGTAGGCGATTCATGATAAGCTAATCTATACTTATTATTATTATGAAGCTGAAGAGTTTTTATGGATGTTTGCTTGAACATGCTAATCTCAGTAACTACTGGTCTGATTTGGAAAATTCATTTCGTGTCGGATAGCCCATTTATCGAGGAAGTATTTAGGCTATATAATATTACCCTACAGCCAATAGGAACGGAGCAGTAAAGGAAAATGTTGCAAAAATGGGAAATATTATTAAAATTATTTTCACGCGTAAGAAGTCTCGGGCACAGCTAGTATTAGTATATGTCAGGAGTGGGTTCACCACAATGTTTATCGGTCGATGGGGATCGAAATAGAAGTGCTTCTGGACCTTTGAGATAATTTTAGAAACTTTGGACGATTCCTGATAAGTTAAATAAATGCTTGTGTGTTGAGTGGATTCACCAAAATCCACTGGTCGACGGGGATGAACTAAAGTTACTCTAAAATAGAAACGGCAATGCCTTTGGGAATTTGAGCTATTATTTTAAGAAACTTTGAGGTATTTTCGCCTTCAGGACTATAGTCGCCTCCATAGTCAGTATTATACTGGTTAGCAACAGTCGCAGCATGTAAGACAAATTATTTAAAGCTGAGGGCAGCCGCTGAAAATCACAGTCGGGACACGCTGTGTGTTTTGATTAATGATAAGCCTGCGACTTTTTGACACGAAATTCATTGCCTTTTGTTTTCTTTTTCTATTTTCTGTTGGAATACATATTTGCGAACGATTTTGCCATGGTGATTGCAATATAAATGTCGGTGATTATGATATACCTTTTTTATTTTTTAACAATTTCAATGATGCTTTGAAAAACAGTACTACCTTGCTCTCCATTGCTCTTCCTAGCTGCTGAGAGTTCAAACATAACTGCTTATTTATCGTTTGAAGTGTACACAGGGATTTTACTGACATTTATTTTAACGAGATTAGATTAAGACTTGATTTTAGTGAATTCTATTACGAGAATTAATGTAAGTACACAGGTCATATCTGATAAACGGTACTGGTTCTATAAATATGGCATTTATATCAATCCACCTTGAAGATACAGTAATGAGGTAAATGTGAATTAACTTCGAATGATGTTACGGTAGGTCTAGGCAATCAACTTTGTAAACCGGTTTTGGATGTAGTACACGACAAACGAACGTTTAAATGCCTACTGAAACGATATACGCTAACGAAAATGACGTCACATTGTTAGAGCCAAAGCACACGATGTGTTGCAAAGCCGGTGCGACGCCGCCGGAGCGGTGTCTTAGGCCGGCAATACACGGACCGCTTGAGCCCGAATCAGTTGCAACTGCTCGAGCGGTTCGTGTATGTGCGTCCATAGAACTGCAGTTCACTGTGCAGTCGACAGCTTGAAGTTGTCGACCCTGACTGCTTCAAGCGGTCCGTGTATTGCCGCTGTTATATAAAAATGCCTGTGCAAGGGCGGACATCGAGCGGTGCAGCGCCCTAACACATCGTGTGTTTTGGCTCTTAATGGCACTATTTTAAAGAAATAGGCTTAAATTGAGTGCCTTTTTGACTCTACCAATCACTAATGAACTTTGCATAAGGTCTAAAAGTTTTTCTTTGAAAAATTTATTTTTGTTATTACGCGTTTGGCAGCTTCATTAACTATTTATAAATCAAAGCAGCACGATCTTATTAGTTAATTACTAATTTGAAATTTTAAGCTTAATAACTTTATTACTTAACCCACTTACTCCTACCAGGTGTTATAACACCGCTAAAAAGTAGTTCGGAATATCCTCAGATAAATTATAAAAATATCGAGAATTTATTTACTATTCCTTGTATTTTCTCTTCATTACGAATCAAGCTATAATTGAGTATGTTCGTTATCGCATATTTGCTTTATTTTGTTAGTATTTTACTATTTTGAATTCTGTTATTTAGTTTTGTGCAAAAACGTCTTATAAAAGCTAAGATATTTCATAAACTTGCTAGTAATACCTCAGATTATACTAGTTATTATTTTAGGTACTACTGTTAGCTACAAAACTATAAACTTATGTTTTTGAAAAGCTTTACATTTTTGAGACTTTTTATGACAAAATTACGATCGGTGTTTTAACACCTGGTCGCATAATCGACGTCTAACTTGTATATTCATTAAAAGTTTAGGCCACGATATAAAAGACCGCTGAGACTTCACGGAATAGTGGAAATATTAGAAAACATTGACGACGATGATCAGATACCGAATTACATAGCAATTTTACCACCAGAAAATGCTAATGCAGAAGCAACAGATGAAGATTCTGGTGAAGAAGACCACGTTACCTTACAAAATCTTCCAGGTTAGCCTTCTTCCGTTTATCTAACTACAGTTACTTATAGCGTGTAAGTTTTCTATTGCTATTTTTCGTGAATTTCCAGATTCTCAACTTAGAGCCGAGGCAGAAGTACAGTAAGACAAGTCTTCTTCAGACAAAGAGGATAACATCCCGCTTTCTGAATTTTTTAAAGTAAGACGAAATGAATCTAATGATGCCTCCAATGCAGCTAGTTCTTCTGCCATGAAAGTACCTACCGCAATCACAATTATTACAACAATGCAATATAGTGCAAGTACCTTCTGTTAAAGTTTGTGCCAAAATGTCTAAAATATACATGGCAAAGCAGTTATACTCGAAACAATATTTATGAAGAATGGCGCCACAACCAGGGTCAACGGAGCTTACATCCCTATGTATGTACTACTGTACTTACGAGTACTACATGCAACTGACATGTAAAATTTGCAAGAAAAAATCAATTTGGTGTAAAAAATGCGCCACGTACTAAAGTATCCTGGGTTATGATTTATGTCTCCACCATCCTCCTACCTCCTCTGAATAAGATTTTGGTATTTTTTAAATAAATGTGTATAACTTACAACTCGTTTTTAACTCTTAAACCTAACAAAATCATAGTATAATTTTTTCTCGTAGTAGTAGTCCATTCTCCGACCAGGTGTTAAAACACCACCCATTTTCCGGCTTTTCCAGTTGACCAAGAATTTTTCTAATATTTTTCTGTGGATACTTGACCTCTATTTAGAAACATACTAAAAATTTATAAAAATTGACAAGGATAAAAAGTTTCAGGAGTATCTGGGTTAAAACTTTATGATTTACATATTTCAAAATAATGAATGAATGCTTTATTGTCTACAGGTACTGATGCTGATACCTCAGAAAGGTTAGTTGTAGATTAATTCTTGTTACTTATATACAGACTTGTAATGTTTGGAAAATCACATCTATTACTGTATAAGATACAGATTTTACTCTACAATAGAATAGAACAGTTTTTATTTGAAAGAAAGGTATACAAGCAGGCAAGACATAGGTATATACAGAAAGAGATGTGCCGTCGTGTGTACAATGCACTTAATAAGTACTTTTTAATCATTGTGTTTTGTAGGTCACTTTTATTTGTAACTAGCTTTCCGCCCGCGGCTTTGCCCGCGTGGAATTTCGTTTGTTAAATTTTCTTTGCTATAAACCTCACGGAGCCCGAGACCTTTCCAACGAATGCAAAACCTTGGAAATCGGTTTGTGCGTTCTGGAGTTATAGCGTCAGGGAGGAAAACCCGACTTATTTTTATATAGTAGATTAATGAAATACGTGTTAAAACTAATGAAGTGTTATCAGCGGTGGACTTGTGATTAGGTTAGTCTAATAAGATGAGCGTTTAAGCCATGCGGTTGCTCATTTATAGAGTACCGCAGCGAGTTCCACGAGGAACCCTTTAGATCCTAAAGATATCGCGAACTCTGTAAAAATATAACAAGTAGGTAGTAGTATAACAAACTTGGAAGAAATGAAAAATGTATTTTTGTATGAATATTACGATGAAAATATACAGAACCATCGGCATGTCTGGCGAATATTACATTAACAATGTATAACTGAAAAAAGATTCCGAGCTCACAACGGCGCTCAAACCTTCAAAGGACAATGCCTTTTACGGGTTTTGTCATGCAAACCAAAGCAGAAAATTTTCTTTTCCGTATCCGGTCCGGATAACCAATTTAAAAATGAAAGGAAAGTATGCTTCAGAACGGAAAAAATGTGGTCTCGAACATTTCAATATTGTGGTTAATACAAAATTACTTAGCGAGAGCTTTAGGCTTTTGATGACCGCCTGACTGACATTTTAGAAATCAAGATAACTTTAGCCTGGTCACGTTATTAGGAGTTTGGGCTACTGTAAAAAAATATTAGACCGATTAATCAAATAAAATTAATTAATTGTTTTTGCATAAAACATGGTATAGGCAACATACAGGCTAATTTTATAAGATGTGCTGTGCTAATGTTTTGCTATTTAGACAAAACATGTAAATATTAAATACGAGCATAAATGGTACCTATAATTAATTGTGTAATACATAAAATGTTAGTTAACAAGGAAGATAGTTCAAAAGTTACAGTTTTATATTTTCCTTGTACTGTTAAATTGGTAAACCATACAGGGACATCCTGTGAGCAATGCGGTTAAAATATAAGGTAACTGTTGACGTTTGTCGTTGACGGTGACGTTACGGGTGCAGCTGTACTCAAATGTACTGAATTGCAAAACTAAGTAGGTACCTATTACACTTTCAAAATTTAATTTTTTTCTTAACTATAGAAGTTAGAGATTTAAAATATTTTTTTAACAAATTTTATCAGCTTTCTTCGAAACTTTGTATCAAGTACTTTTTATTACGTAAATATCTCTGGTATACTTAAAAGTCCTTGCAATTTGAAAAGTGTGATACTTATTTTTGCAGGTTAGTGTAGTAAGTAAAATGTAGGTAAGTAGGTACATAAATACTTACGAGTTCGGGTGCTCTACATTTCTGTGCTCGAAGGGGTTGTAGGCTTTCTCATTGATGACCTCTTTCGAACCCAGGCTGAGGGTCGACTGGAAGCCAGGGTTTGATGCTAGGTTAGCCCTGAAATTAATACATGCAAGATTATTAAAGTATACGCATCTGTGCTATTCCACTAGCGAACCATTAACAGAAAAATTTGTCGATGTTTTATATTTTCACTAGTAATAAATTATTTTATGTTTTTGTTATACTATAAAACTTCTGACATACGTCTTGTGTGATTGTAATTTATATTATTTCGCAAAAATATTCCTATATAACTTTTTGTGGATAAACACATAGCATCATTAAGTACCTACGTATTATAATGATAATGTTATATTTTTTGGCTCGATATCACAAAAAATATTCCGTTAACATAATATGTTACCTACATTAGGGCCTCCTCAAGCAAGGAATATTTTTTGGTAAACTCACCAAATATTGTAGACTACCTAACAAATTCATAATTATCAATTAAGTGAAAAAAAAAAACAGTTAATATACTTATTTTTACACTAATCACTCATGATTAAGTTGGCAACAAAAAATAAATAATGTGATGTTTGGTAGTTCTATTTATAATAACTTAACTGCTAACAATTGTAGTTTGACTCGTTAAGCAGGAATAAACTGTGAGTCCCAATAACGGTATTATGAAACACTTATTAACATCAAAAACAGTAAATCAGTCAAATTCTCAATTCAATTAAAAACGTATGCGATCAAAATAAATAGTAATATTACTAAACACACGGTCTCCGTTCCTTCTTTCTGCTAATTATAGCATAAAATATGTATTTCATTATTGTATTATTTGTTAGTTGTAAAAATTAATAAATATCCTAATTCCACGATTGATTGTCTTGGCGCCTTAAATAAGTGAGCTAGATAAATCACGTAGCTACTCGTAGCACGTAGACTGCTCGGAGCAAGTTATATGAAATTTCCCCGTGGCGGTCTCATACTTATTACAAATACGGCATACTGCTATGTTTTAAATTGTTCTAATTTTGTGTGCCTATAAACTACCTAATTCTAGCTAACTAGGTAATTTTGAGTAAGGACAAAGCAAATTATTTTAACCCTTCTAGTATCAAGGAATCAAGACACAATATAAATCAATATTGTTACTGCGGTTTCAGTCGTCCACTTAGGGTTAAAGTGAATTACAATTTATATACACTTTAGTGAAAACGCAACGAATTGCATACCGTATTTATGTCAATAAATAAATACAGTTCGACAAGTTTGTATTCACATAGCGAACTTCAGGCGGCGCGCCCAAAGGGATCGGTAGAGTTTTTGCGGGTACTTACGTGGAATTAAAGTTGTCGAGGACAAGTGTCCCTTTTTTCTCATCCTTCCCCATTTTGGCAGGTTATTCTGAAACAAAGATATAGAGAATGTTGAAATGGCGTTCGTTTGGGTTGTAGTAATGAGTTTGTTGCGTTTATTATTTATGTTTTTTTATTAAATAAACTTTAAAAATTAGCATCTCTTTGGAAAGGGATCTGCACACATTTTAATACTCGGAACCGAAATATCTCTCTTATTTTTGTCATTGATCACTCACTGATTTTCAGATAGTTCAGAGAATTCAAGGGAAAGTTGTTAGCATTGTCTTTTCTTCACCGAAATGTTAATACTTGTATTTTACTAGTTTTTGCATCTTTCAGATAGAAAATTTGTTTTTATGAGATTATGTAGCACTAGGCTCCTACCCAAATGACGGTCTAGGTTTGTTAAACAAATTAGAATTTGTCCTTTTTATTGTGGCACTAAAAAGATGGCACATCCAGTAAAAAGTACATCTCTTCCGTTCAACAGCCTAAGGTGATAAATGAGGTCGCACTTTTTTGGCAATAAACGTTTCACAACAAACTAGTGATGTAACGAACCTACCGATGGATATCGATATGGTTGACCTTGAAAATCGTAGATTTCTGGCTGAAAGCGTAATTTTTTTAGTATTTCCTTGCCAATCTACAAAAATCAAAATCAAAATTATTTATTCAATTTAGACCACAAGTGGCACTTATGACACTTATGTCACTTATGTCACTACAATTAATTAATTAAAAGTTAGATAATGTGGCTTTGTGGAAAATTAAGTTCTATACTATCTACTTTGCAATAAAATACAACACGCTTAGCTAAGACCTACAATATTTAGGAAAATAAAGATATCTAGGTAATTTTATGGAACAAGCTAATAAGTTTTCCTGTTGCCTTTCCAAGGTCCGTGTCAATGGCACATTATTGCTTAATTTTATTTTACTGTTGATGTTAATAGACTGTAATTTAGAGTTACTTCCGTTTATAGATGTCTTGTTCCATTTGTCTTGATTTGTCTTCCAACGTCCCGAGTGAATTTATCGATAACAATAAATGGCAGCACTAAAACAACGTCATTTCGGAGTTTTAATGCAAAACCGGTTTATCTCGTTTCGGCTGCTAATAAAAAGTCAAAGACAGATTTAACTTGGCCAATTTTGACGCGAACGTGTAATTTTTTATTGCCTCTGGAAATTGGCTTACGTTTTAAAGGGACTATGAAAGTATTACGGTTTTAGCATGGCTCGTAAAATTTATAATTTATGTTTTTAATGTTCACTTTATTAAAATGGTTTACATTTTTGGGTATTACTCTTTTACTCCGTTTCTTTTATGTATTGAATTAATTTAAGTTGTCAATTTGATTTTATTTTTGGAACATGTAGGTGCCTAGTGCTTAAAAGTATTGATAAAGTAAATATATTTATAGGAATAGATTACCAAATTAAATTATCAATTTACTAAATATCAATTTTAATTTTCTTGGTGCCAAATAATGTTTAAATTGCATTAATGTTGCTTGTGGCAAAAAAAAATATATCTTCTCGGATCTCCATGGAATAATATTAGAATCCTATTACATAATAAGACCTGATTCTACGAAAAAAAAATGTTAATGAACTTATCTTACATCCTTTAATAAAAAACTAGCTTGTTGACATTTAAAACAAATAATAATACATATGTTAGGCAGCTTTGCTTAATGAATATACGATCTAAATAAATATATGCAGTGCTTGTCTAATTAGTGATGTCAATAGATTTTACGGATATGGCCAGTTTTCAAGGTTTTGGTAATAAAATAATATGAAATCATGATTTGAATCACGATGACATTTTTCGTATATGAAATCATAGTTTCGTTACTACCTCTTACCCGTAGAGCTATATCCAATATTTCTGATTTTTTAAATTGTGTAGTCTGTGATGAAAGGCTGTTGATTGCGGGTTTTGTTTGCTTTTTTTACATGTGCCATTTGTCAAACATAAATACTACAAACATAAAAAAAATGCAAACAATCAGCGAGCTCTCAACAGCGCGCATTTGTTAGTTCGAGACTTGAAGCGCACTGTTACGTGCTTGCTAGTAATAAAGTAATAAAGTCTTTATTGTGTATGAACAACTTAGTTAATAAGTTAGTTAAGTACTTAATAAGTTCCAAAAAATCTTCAATGTCACAACTATCCTCTGATACAATTCACCTCGGTCTCCCCTACTACGAGTTGTATTTAATTAAATAATCAAACTTTTCTATTTATCACAACGACTGTCTACATGCCGTCTAACTTTTAAACAAAGGACCTATAAATTAGGCATTCCTATAAAGACTGACTTTCCAATTATTTTGAGTAATTATAGACCTTTACAAATTCCAAGCTCGTTACAAACTTGAAATAAGTACGGTTCAATTGATCTTTGGAATTGTATGAATGCTTTCCAACAACTCGTGTATCCTACTAATTATAAGTAAATGCGAAAGTTTGTATGGATGTCTGGATGTAAACATGTTTGTTACTCTTTCACGCAAAAACTACTGAACGGATTATGATGAAACCTTACAGTATTATTGTTTATTACCCAGAATAACATAAAGGCTATAATTTATGACGATCTGTGACAAAGTAAATTTCACACGGGTGAAGCCGCGGGCAAACGTTAGTGAATTATATTCATATAACTACAAAAGATTAGTCATATAACTACAAAAAAAGTAATAATGTATAATTGATAATAACATTGATATTATTATAAATAGGTATTGTGACTTTAGTACCTATCACGAAGTCTATTTATGAAAGCTACACCTTTATACGCCATTTGAATAAGGCCGAAGTAAAAATAAATAGATTGATCTTTTTGTAAGAGTATGGCAAATAAATTCATATAAACGACTATTTTAAGTAAGACTGCGGCTAAGTATCTCGTAGTCACCTCAGGCAATACGTATGAAAACTACAAGTCAGTCAGTACCTGAGGTATGGCAGCGGCACGGGAGGGATGACATTGACATATTAGAAAGAAAGAAAGAAACATTTATTGCCATGAACATCACAAAAGACAAAAGAGGTAAAATAAAAAAAAAAGCAAATAAGACAGAGGTGACATAAAACATGCAATGAAAGAGCAAGTAAACTAAGCAGTGCCACCCTGTCGCACAGCGATGCCCATCGCAATGGGACCCCACTCAGCATATGCCGTGGCCCCCGGTGAGGGAGGCCACGACGCTGGTTTTCAGTGTGCCCCATTATTATGAAGTGACAGACCATACAAATCTGAAGCTTATCTGAAGTCTCGCTAACGTTTGACGTCTCAAAGCACCCTTCGGTGCCGCTCCCATACCTCAGGCACTGACTGAGTTAAGCGCTAGACCCTATAACTCGTATAGCGACCAGATTATTGAAACATTAATATCCAGTACCAAGTCGCGAAGCTGTCATTTTCTGCTATATTTCGAGCTGACCAGTCATTACAGGCTATAACTTTTGGTCTACTTTAGCGATTATCAGGCACGCCCAAATGGCTACGAATAGTGTGGTGTTGAAAGTCATAAAAGTGAAAATATGTGGCGGCCATAACGCAAGGTTTACACTAAAAGTTGCATGCTTAAGGCCCTCGCCCACGGCGACTTTTAACTACTAACGCGCGTTGATCGCATTTGCAACGCACTACAGAAGTAATGCCAACGCGCTACTAAGGCCTCAGCCTCGAACTTAGCGGGCAGCGGCGCGGGAGCGGCGGCGGGGCGGGAGCGGCAGGATCTTATGCGTAAAATCAAATAGACCGGTCCTCGAAAACAGCGGCGCGGCAGCGGCGCCGGAGCGAGCAACGAGCGGGCAGCGGCGAGGGAGCGGGCAACGAGCGGGCAGCACACTCCTTCTTTTGCCCACAATAAATCGAGCGTAAGGGATAAAATTGAATCGAAATAAAATTGTCGTCGTTGTTCAGACATTTCGTTCGCGAATAAAAACAAATATCTCGACAACACAACCCCGAACACAACACTTCGCCGCTAAAGCGCCGCGCGAGCTGCCCGCTGGCTTCGAGAACGGGTCTGCGTTGCCCGCCCCGCTCCCGCGCCGCCGCCGCCGCCCCGCTGCCCGCTAAGTTCGAGGCTGAGGCCTGACGCGCTACAGCAGCGCGACTCGTCGCTACAAAAAGTCGCCGTGGGCGAAGGCCCTAAAAATACGGCACTGAATTCTGATAAAGGTGGGAACGAGAAGTGGGAATGGTCCCGTTAAAAATCGAACAAAAGTTTTCTGTTTTAAGCTTCGTTACGAATTTCGGTGTTGATGGGAAAATACCCGAGTGCAAAATCCCAATTTTGAGAGAGAGTTTTGAAATGCAAAATGAGATTTCCATAGATATTTTTTATAAATGAGTTCTGTCTGTGGAAGGTTTCGTGGGTTTTTATGATTGTAATTGTTAAACACCGACCCCGAGAAATACTATTAAATGCGGTTCTTATAATGTTTAAGAGACAACTATAAAGAAAGAAAAGTTTAGAAGATATTGCTGTTTTAACTATCCATTGCCTGTCATGTCGTCTCGTTCTATCGCAAAGAATCACCATTTGATGAGAGCGAGAGCAAAAACGGAAATGGATATTGGATAGTTAACAGTGTGGCCGTGAGTACATTTGATTAATATGAAATGCGTTTAAAATGTACAGAACCCTTTGCAAACCAGAACAAGTCTTGCTATTTATTACTGAAAATGCCGACCTTTTTTAATTTTGAGCAGCTTGTTTTACTAAGTGCCTGTTATTTGTTCAGCGCTCAAGGCCAAAATTTAAGTCCTACACGAATTTCCTTGATTTTCCTCATTATTATTCAACGCGGCCGCTAATTAGGAAATGGTGTTGATAAGGATAATGTTTTGATATAAATGAGATTAATTATTAATAAATAATGTCTGTCTTGAAATTTGAATGTTAGGCTTTTGAATATTAACCAAGAAAATATTTCTTTAAATACTTAGGATTTTTATTAATTCATTAAGATATTGTAATAAATATAAACAATTAAATTCTTGGATTTTTACGTCTCCA